TCTTTTGGATAAGTTAAGTAGCATTTCTATAGTGGGTTTTGATATTTACTAATTTTTTTCTTTTTTTAATGGAAGTGGACTTTTTTACTATTGGTTAATGTAATTCTACAAATCGGAATGGTAGTTTTTTTCAGGTTTTTACTAATTTTTCTTTTTTTTAATAGAAGTGGACTTTTTTGCTATTGGTTAAGGTAATTCTACAAATTGGAATGGTAGTTTTTTCAGGTTTTTACTAATTTTTTTCTTTTTTTAATAAAAGTAGACTTTTTTATTATTGGTTAAAGTAATTCTACAAATCAGAATGGTAGTTTTTTCAGGTTTTACTAATTTTTTTCATTTTTTAATAGAAGTTGACTTTTTTACTATTGGTTAATGTAATTCTACAAATCAGGATAGTAGTTTTTTCAGGTTTTTACTAATTTTTTTTCTTTTTTTTAATAGAAGTGGACTTTTTTACTATTGGTTAATGTAATTCTACAAATCAGGATGGTAGTTTTTTTTAGATTTTTACTAATTTTTTTTCTTTTTTTAATAGAGATGAACTTTTTTGCTATTGGTTAATATAAGTTTACAAATCAGAATGGTAGTTTTTTTTTTTTAATAGAAGTGGACTTTTTTTCTTATCAAATATAGTAAATAATTAAATTTAATAAATTTGTAACAATTATTATTATAAATGTGTTTTTTTTATAATTAAAGTATTATATTAATGTAAATCATATCAATAATAAAATTCTCTTTATTATAGTTAATCGGGATTACTTACTTGTATAAAAATAAACAATTATAAAATTAACTGTATTATAAAAATTTAATAAAATATTACCAATTGGAATATGTTATTTGTATAATAAGTAATAATAAGAATATTCCTATTAATGACTTAGGGATAACCCAATTGGAAACTGGATGTTAATAAATTGATATCAATAAAAATAAACCGATTGATATCTTTATAACATCCTGATTGGAACTTTATTTTATCCTATCTGCATCATTATTCGTCATCAATTGGGATCACCTGATTTTAAAAAAACAAAAAATTAGAAAACCAATCAGATTAAATCTGGCAACCTAGATTTGACCCGATTGGATCACTATTTGTCATCGGTCGACTAGTGTCAATCCAATTAATATATTGAGTCTGGGTTAACTTGTGTTTATCAGCATATAGACAAAGCTCATATTTTTGAGAATCTGAAAGAGTTATTTTTTTTTATAAATGACATATTAAAAAGAAAAAAAAAATATAAGACTGAAACAAAATGCGTCTGGTATAATTTTAAAATATAAGACACGATGAATTGATAAAATAATTTTTCATAATATTAATTTAAACAAAAAAAGAAATAGCATCATAAAACAAAAAAAGGAGGCGTTGCAATATTTTAAAAGAGATAGTATAATATCATATTAAATAAAAAAGGTAGCATTTTATTTTTTAAAATTAAATCATAAAATTAAAGATATGAAGATGAGAGTCAAAAGAGCTGAAAGTTAAAATTGGAAGGAGTTGAAAGTTGTTGAAATTAGCAGTTATTATTGTTGAAGTTGGTTGCCATTATTGAAGTTTGTTGAAGTTGGAGATGGTTGAAGTTGAAGAAGGTAGTTATTATTAAAGCTAGAGTTGTTGAAGTTAGTGGTTATTAAAATTGAAGAGTTAAAGTTAACAGTTGTTAAAGTTTACAATTGTTGAAGTTTGCGGTTGTTAGAGTTGAATTTGTGGTTGATTGAAGGTTATGAAAATAATAAATGATAAAACCTCTGATGAGAAGTTACTAAGCATCAATATTGGAGAAAATGGAAGCAAAAAAAAGAAAGTATACTTTTATATTTTTATTATTTTTGTTTGAAATGAATTTGCTAACTTTTTTTTTTACGAATTATGGTGGAAGATGTACGATGATGAAATGTTTACGATAAGTCACGTGTCTATAGTATTTGTCACGTGAATGCATTTAAAGAGATGTTTATATATATGGTCTGAACTAAAAATCATTGCATGGTGTGAATAGGAAGGGTGTGCATTTATCACTAAGTCCTGAACTTGCGACCGGACTAAAAGGTGCATTTATACAAGGTGTGCATTTATGAAGAGTGCATTTATAGAGAGTTGACTGTACTGATTAAACATAAATTCTATATTTTTTTGCATATAGAAAAGAATGATTTTCAGTATTTAATATACAGAAATATTTACAATATACTATAAAATCTTACCAAAAATAACGTATACAATATACTGATTAGACGTAAAAAATGCAACCAAAATAATATATATATTATTCTGATTAGATGTATAAATTCAATATTTTTTTGCATACAGAAAAAGACAATTTTCAGTATCTAGTATACGAAAATATTTACGAATTTATTATACTGTTTTTTTACATTTATTATACGTTTTTTAAACATATTATTTCTGTATACTTTCCTTATACATATTATTTATAGGATTATTTTAACAGTAATGGTAATAACATTAGATTCAATTTTGATCTGATGGATAATTATTTAAAAACTACCTGCCCTTCAGTACAGGAATCCAATATCTGATCTAAAGCCAAAAACTTATAAAAAAAGAAAGACCATTTATTAAATGTTTCTTAAAACAAATATCTTTTTACATAAAACATAATCTTACTTACCTACACATTGTCAACAGTTGGACATTGATCCAGTTGGTTCAATTTCAAAGTCATCCTTAAAACAATACTAACATCATTACAAAACACAATATATTACTAAAGAAATAAAAGAAAAAAAAGAAGAAAAACACTTTCCCTATTTACCAGAAGTCTGAAAACCTGTCAAAGAGCCGTTCCTAAAAAAAGAAATGAAATTAGTCATTTCTTGAAGGTAATGACAAAAAAAAACACTCTTTTACTTACCGAAATGTTCAACCGTTCCTAAAAAGGAAAAAAGAAATGAAGTTAATATAGTTAATATCATAATAAATGACAAAAAAAAAATTATAATATAATAAAATATACCTTCCTCATCATTGAAAAAAATTTTTTTAAAGATTATCATAACTGTATATACTGTAATTATTTATTATATAATTTGAAAATCAGCTTTCCAGATGATCATCAGATCATATGGGAGCATTTCCAGTAAAATCACATTACAGATCATATGATTTACTATGCCTTATAACTTGATTTTACTGGAAACGTTTCCATATGTTAAATTCAGAATGAATACCAGTTTTTTGTTGTTAAACTGAAGTTTTGGTTAAAAACACAAATTTTCATTTATCTCAAAATATACAAAACATCAATTTAGTCACTTTTCTAGCACTCACCTTACATGTTGAATAGTGAAGGATAAGTCATTGTGAATTGTGGTGAGTTGTTTTGTAATAGTCTCTAGTTGTAACAGAATTTTTGTTTGCTAAAGATGGATCTCAGTTTTTATTAGATTTGAGTTGATCATGTGGGTAGTATTCTTTCTTATATACTTCAAACCAGCTTGATTTAGCATAAATATTACTATTCAGAGTTTGATCACCCTTATCATTGAAAGGTCTTAGTGAAAGATGAACTGGTTAATTAGTATTAGTTGGAATAGGTTTTGGTTTTGGATCATGTGTTTGTTGGTTCTATTGTTTAGGTTTATTAGGAGGATGTTTATGATTATCTTTACTTTGTTGATATAGTGTAATTGGAATTAGTCTCAGTCTGTATTAAGGCACTTTACTATACTAGTTTAAAATGTTAATAAAGATTTTGTATTTATTGATCATTTGGAGATTTGTGACTGCAATAACAGTTGTTAGATTGATGTCTAGGAATTAAGTAAATAAAATACAATTTGGTATTAGGTTCAGTTCAAATTAGATGTTTTCGACCTAAGAAGAAAGTTTCTTCATTTTTGGCAAAGTCAAGATCCTCTTAGGATTTAAAGTAAAGGACTGCATATTGTAAGTTTTGATAATTAGATTTGGCTTTAGGAATTATAAAAGCCATTGAGTTTATTGCGCATTTGATTGGGATGAGTTGTTTACTATTTGTATCAATAGGAAGATTAGTAAGCTTTAAGGAAAACTTGGATTTTTAACAGACATCGTCATGCGAGAGGTGTTTTATATTAAATGCTGAAACTTGAAATTCCAAAATGATATATATTTGAACATCAGATTTTCAAAATTACTATTTCCTGAATATAATGTTTTTACGAAATGATAAAATTCTGATGATCATGTTTTACCGAAAAATACAGTTTTCCAAAATCATCAATATCCAGAAATTTATGAAATTCTGAAATAATATAATACTGAAGTGTGATTTAAATTAGGGTAAGTTTAGGAACATAGATTAGTTTAGAATTTGTTTAGAATTAGTTTAGAATTAGTTTAGGGTTAGTTTAGAATTAGTTTAGGGTCAGATTTAGGGTCAGATTTAAGATCAGTTAGGTTTGAGTTATTTATTACATTTTCTAAAATCATGAGATTTCGTTGATTACAGTATTTTGCAAAATCTATTTTTTCAGTTTTCCTGAAATCATTTTATTAAAATATAACAATAAAATATTGATTTAATTATGTAGTTTAATAAATTTTAAAATAATTATAAATACAACTTCGTAAATTTCTCCTGATTTCATAAATTTTGTAATTTTTATTATTCTTTTATTGAATTCTCCTAATTTATATATTATCATTTTATAATTTTTACATTTGACAAAATATATAATAATGTTCATAATATCTAAGAAATATGAGTTTTGTGATGCATTTGATGCATGTGATTCATTACGTGTTATGTATCATATTTGTAAAAGTTTGATTGCTAAGCTTTTTTTAAATATAGCCTTGTTATTCTTAGCTTTTAATTTTCTGATTTCATCTGATTCTTCACCACTTCTTTATTACTGACTTTCTGCAACTATATTTTCTTGTTTTTTTAATTACAAAACCTACTTTAAAAAAGGAAGAAATTTGTGAATTAATTTCATCACAAAAAGGAAATATTAAGATTAATATTCGTAGCTATCTAATGCTAAAGGATAAAGCACTTGAGGATACATTTTATTGGGTTTGTGAAAAAAGAAAGCTAGAAAATTGTAAAGGTCGAGCAATAACTAAATTTATTAATGGTTCATATTATCTTAAAAAATTTATTGAACATCATCATTCACCTCAAGCTAGTGATTCAGTTGTAGCAAATGCTATTGGTTAAATTAAAAAATAAGCTTTTGAAACTAGTGATAAACTTGCATAAATTATTTAAAATACTGCTGTTAATATTTTGAATCAGATCTATTCTTATATGCCATCACATAATGCACTTTATGCAACAACTAAATGTATTAGAAAAGCAGAAATGCCAACAGAACTACAAAATATTGATGGTATTAATATTCCAGACTCACTTCAATATACTTTGGATGGTGATCTATTTTTAATAAGAAATTGTAATATTGACCAAGAATGACTTCTTTATTTACTACAAAAGCTAATATTTAACGCTGTTAGTGATAGTCTAGTTGTGATGCATTAATACTGCACTAATTATAATTAGCAAATGATGATCCCATCGATTATAGATCTCAACTTTCTCTAATTTCTATGATTTCTATCATTTCTCTAATTTCTTAGCG